AAAAGGTCTCTCGAAAGGCAGGTTACAAATGATTCTTATTTTCCTATATACATACACACATACACACACTTTTTTTTTTTTAACTAAGGAGAGAAAGCTAATTCAAAAAACTGTCTTGAGGTCTTTGTAAATACATAAATTTAACTTTTTCAGTCTCTTGACTTTTCTGCCCAGGGTGGTGCTACAGCTTACTCATATTCCAACAGCGTAATTTTCCTGTCACATTGCCAAATGGGAAGGAAACTATAAGAATCCTGCCCTTTCATTCTTGGAAATGTTCCCCCTGTTCTTCTGACTGTTTAACCCTGGAAAGACACAGGACAAACTGTCCCACTGTCTGTGTGCACAGAGGCATAGACAAAGAACACGGTGTTTTATTGAAAGCCAAAGAAAAGCAGTGTAATTCGCTACATGGGATTTGGAGTTGCAGGTATGATTTTTTCTTTCAAATAAAATAAAAATATATCATCTGAACTTTTTTTATTGAGACGTCATTGGCATACAATATTATGTTAGTTTCAGGTGTACAACATAGTGATTCCACATTTGTATACACTGTGAAATGATTACCACAGTAAGTCCAGTTACCATCTGTCACCATACAAGGCAAATACAATATTACTATGTTCCCCCATGCTGTACATTACATCATTGTGACTCATTTGTTTTATACTTGAAAGTTGGTACTTGATCTCCTTCACCCACTTTGCCTACCCTCCAAACCTTCTCCTCTCTAGCAACCACCAATCCATTCTCTATAACTCTAAGTCTGGGTTTTTTTTTGTTTTTTAGATTCCACGTGGAAGTGAAATCACATAGTATCTGTCTTTCTCTGTCAGACTTATTTCACTTAGTATAATACCCTTTAGGCCCATCATGTTGTCACAAGTGGCTGAGTAGTACTCCATACATCTCCTATCTTCTTTGTCCATTCTTCCGTCAGTGATCAGTGGATACTTAGGCTGCTTCCATATTTGGGCAATTGTGAATAATGCTGCAATAAACATAGGAATGTGTGTATCTTTTCAAATTAATGTTTTCACTTTCTTCAGATGGATACCTAGTAGTTGAATTACTGGATCATACGGTAGTTTTGTTTTTAATGTTTTGCGGAACCTCCATGCTGTTTTCCAGAGTGGCTGTACCAATTTACATTCCCACCAACCATTCACAAGCATTCACTTTTATCCACATGTTCTCCAGCATTTGTTATTTCTTGTCTTTTTGATAACATTCTGCCAGGTGTAAGTTAACATCTCACTGTGTTTTTGTGAATTTGCATTCCCCTGATGATGAGTTATGTTAAGCATTTTTTATGTACCTGTTGGCCGTCTGTATGTATACTCTGGAAAAATGTCTGTTCAGATCTTCTGACCATTTTTCAACTGGGTTGTTTCATTGAGTTGTATGAGTTCTTTATATGTTTCAGATATTAATCCCTTGAAAAATCTTCAATACCCATTTTTTAGTAAACACTGTCCATTCCTGAAATTTCCTTCCCTGAAACCATTTCCTTGCTCAGATTGAGCTAACATTGAGAAGTTTCCTCACAACTTCATTTGCTTCCACACCTATGTCTCAAGCTTAAATTGGGAATAGAATTTCAAAATTCCACAAGGATGGAAAAATTCAATTCAGGTATTAATCACTGCATTCTGCCAAAGTGACACTCTCCATTGCTCCTTTGTTGCTAATTTTGCCCGATGGCCCCTCCTGGCACCAACGAGGGAGACCTTTAAAAGCTCAGCCTTGAGTAACGACAAGCAGGTGAGTAATCTTTGAATCTCATTATAGCTCAAAGTAAAGAGAAAAATTCCAGCTGCATTTCTTCAATGTTTCCTAAAAATTTCCACAGGTCCTGCTTCACAAAACCTCTGCCTTGCCCAGCTGGAAATCTGCCCGGAAGTCATGACCAAATGCCTTCCAAATTGCAGGATCCATTTAATTTGTACAGTTTCTATTCCAAAAGTTTCCTGTTAATTAATGAATGTCTTGCTAGAAGTTTAATTGAGAAGCCAGGTTTCCTTACAAGAAAAAGGTCTTTCTCTTTTGTTTTTAATCTGAGCAGAAGACCTGAAAAATAGCTGTGCAACAAACGAGCAGCTCTAAGATGAGTCGCAGGACCCAGCAGAAGGAAGCAGGGTGCCTCCTCCCTCCATCCCCCGAAGTAGCAGGGCTTTGAACTCATATAAGATGGTGAGGAGGACACTAAAGATGATCCAGAGAGATATCATTCCTTCCCATAACATAGTGTGATGGGACAGTGTAAGAGATCAATGCAAATGAGAATTCACCCAAGATCTGGCCTTGAATCATTTGTGTGTCTGAAACCTGGCTGCATGGAACAAATCAACATGGCTTCTGGATTATAAATAATTAAAATGCTAATTACTTTAATACACTTTTTTAAAGCAGGAATTCAATTACTGTAGTTCACATAAAGTACATTCAGTGTCAACATTCTCTCGGGTTATACATGTGCAACATGGAGATACAATTCAGACGTGCCATCCTCAATCCTCATTCTGAGGATTAGTGGTTCTTTTGGGCCCCCCTTGAGGTCAAAATGGGTTACAGAGTAAGGCAATGATATAGACAATAAGTAATAATTTAGACAAGACAAATACAAGGCATCAGTTTTTACTCTTTTCCTTTTCAAGCAGAAAGGGCAGTGTCCCCTTAATGAGTGTTATGGGCTAAATTGTGTCCCTTCAGAATTCATATGTTGATTCCCTGACCCCCAGCACCTCAGAATGGGACAGTATTTAGAGACAAAGCCTTTAAAGAGGTGATTAAGTTAAAATGAGGCCATGAGGGTGTGTCCCAATCCAATCTGACTGGTGTCTTTATAAGCAAAGGAAATTTGGACATACAGAGAGATCCTAGAAATAAGTACACACAGAAGAAAGACCACGTGAGGGCACAGCAGGAAGGTAGCCATCTGCAAATCGAGGAGACCTCAGAGGAAACCAACGCTGCCAACACCTTGATTTCAGACTTCCAGCCCCCCTAACTAAGAGACAATAAATTTCTGTTGTTTAAGCTACCCAGTCTGTGATATTTTGTTATGGAAGCACTAGCAAACCAATATAATGAGAAACTAAACTACTGGCGCTCCTAGCATGCATTTTTCCTCATTGTCAAAATCTATAACTGCCGCCCTTGGGGGTCTCAGAGCTCTGCCTCAACCCTCTATTCAGGGTGCAAATCACATGGACCCCTGGTTTCAGTGTATTTCACATTGTAATTGTAATTATGATCACAATTCTGCAAAACCTGGAGGCATTAACACAATAGCATTCTGAATATTCAAGAGCTTAAGCCCCTAGAGACCTAGGTCTGTGGTAGAACCGCCTAATATTAGCAGGTTACATTACAACTGGCTCTAGTACATCACTTGTGATACATCAATGTCTGGGACTTAGGTAGTAAATGTGGGGCCACTTTTACGTTTTCACTTAACATGCCATAAATGTGGCTGAGGCTCAACCCCCTAGGGCTCACTGTCCCACCAGAAGCAGTGATGGGCATGAAGCAGGAGTGGCAGCCATGTGAAGTCGTCCACAGTCACCAGTGAAGGTGTTCATAATCCCAGCTCACACTCTGCTGCTCATTAGCCCCAAGGAATGAGGGATCTGACACGCTCCACACTAGACCTCAGCCTGGAGCTTCCAACACAGACAAAAACCCTTTCTCCTTTTCCTTGGTCAAGTCTTCTGGATCCATAAACTTATTCAACTTCCCTTGAGCTGTTTCAAACTCCAGCTCCAATTTATAGTAGGCCTGCTGGGATGCTGGTAACACCCAGAATTTGAGTTTCCCCACCCTGCTGCAAGTTGATGTTCCCCCATATTTTAATGAGCTTTAGTCCTCATTAAAAAAATAAAATGATAAAAAAATAAATAAATAAAATAACTGTCTACAATCGACCCTTTTTCAGATCATCCAAGCCTGTTTGCCATCTAAAAAGAATCTTTCACTAGTGCCAGTTGCAGAGACTAAATAATGCCACATGTAGGAGGAGATGGAAGGAAGGAAGGAAGGAAGGAAGGAAGGAAGGAAGGAAGGAAGGAAGGAAGGAAGGAAGGGAGGGAGGGAAAGGGAGGGGAAAGGGACTGGAAGAGAGGGCCAAGATAGATCTCCAATATGCACAGTCATCCATTCATTCTTTGAATCACCATGTACTGAAGAGAGATCTACATGACCCAGGCTTAAACCCCAATTCCCAGTGACATGTATTCTTTCCTAATAAATATCTATCCCAACTCTGCATATCATTAATTTAGCATACGTAATTAACTGCTTTGGCATTTTCACAGGCTGTAACTTACATGCTCTAATAGTCTATGCCAGTAGCACCTGACCATATAGGAATGAGTAGCTAGCTACCTATGGACCCTACCCTGGCGTTTGGTGGTGAGGGGAGTCATCTGTCCACACAAGTAAGAGCTAGCTCCCACCCGGCTCCTTACCCCCAGGTAAGGAGGCTCCTTACTCCCAATCACACCACAGAATTAAAGTCTTCCCTGAGAAGGTGAGCTCCCGAAGGAGAAATGTCCATCCCTTTCCTGATCATGATGGAACTCAAACTCCTTAAAGCCCATTCACTGACACCCCCTCTGTCAGCTGTAACTGGTCCCAGCCCTCACAAGGAATTATATCTCAGCTGAGGTCTGCCTCCATAAATTTTTTAATGGCTTGGCTCACAACTTTTTAAATTCTCCCAACTTCCACTCTTTATATGCAGTAAGTATTTGATAAATATTTATAGTATTTATAATTTTAAATAATTAAGCATTTCATCGTTGAAATGACAATGTTTTAAAAGATTATTCAGGGATGCTATTTTGACCTAGTTTAAGACTTTGAAACATAGATTTCGTTTTTTTGGTCAATTTCTGGTCTTTAAAACTAGAAATTACAAGTACAAGGAAAGTAACAAATCCCCAGAATGCGGGAAAGAATAGGACAGACTAGAAGTCTGGATAAAAGATGCTTACTCGGTGCCGCTTTCGACCATCTGCGTGAGGAGAGAGATGCCATCCAGATTTATAAACTCCTGGGCAAATGTGACATCCCGGGAGAGGCTGGCTAAGTCCTTCAGGGCTTCCAGCTTGGCATCCATACTTGACGACTGGATTCGTTCATGGAGCTGCTGGGCGTTTTGAGCCTCATTGAGGACAAAAATAAATGGAAGAGTGTTCACAGAGGAAACCACAATAGACAAAAAACTACTGTTTCATTGAGAAAGGAAGACAACAGGGCCCAGAAGCATAAGACCATGTGCATTCTATATACCAAGGGCAGTTTTCCAACCTGCATGACTCCACCTTCAAGCAATGTCTGTTAATTTAATGATGGCAATTGGTTGCCTTCTTGACAAAGCCCACGTTTCTGTCTCTTGGAAAAGTAAGAGCACAAAAACAGTAAAGCCCCTGAAAGGGAACAGGAGTGGCAGTGAGGAGGGAAAAATGGGAAAATGTTTACCTTGTAAGTAAAATTATTGTCTACAAATGACAAAAAGGTATTTGCTTAGTTAAGCCATTACGCAAATTTATACAGAACATTCATGCGTTCCGTCAATATTCTGAGCAGTAACTGCCTACACAGAGTGTTCAAAAGCTTCACTAGACATTATTTCATTAGAAATAATCTTTCCCAGTTACTGAAAATCTTCTAGCACAACACACAACAGTGCTTATAAATTTTACTTTTCAACATGTGTTTCACAGGCATTGGGTAATTATTGCACAAATATAAAACAAAATAATTAGGAAACCAAATCAGTAGCTTCGCCTAAAATTAGACATTTTTTTAAGGCCTCTGCCCTTGGCTACTACATGCCGGACAGGGAGGAATGGAAATATATTGGATAATAACTTGCAGTTTATATTTCTCGTTCTTCCAGTAAAGATTTTCACAGCTACTTTTCAGTTGGGGCAGACAGTAAGAAAAATAAAATATTAAATTTTTCTGCCTCTATTTTTGCTTAATGGAAATAACTCAACATCTGTGGTAGTTACTATTTAACTCAAAACTGCAATGGGTGAAGCAATGTACCATCCTCATATTCTCCTTCTCAGCCACCTGTTTCTCCTTTGAAACTTGTTATATTTCAGAGAAAGGGGAAGAGGAGGTATTTGTCCCCGGAAGTGACGTATCTTCTGAATGGAAACTCATTAGAACTATCAGAGGAGCCCCGTGTGGACTGTAACAGGGTTAAGATTGCAGAGTGAAGGAAGGGAATCCACACAGGTTCTGAGACCCCAACAGGCTCCACAGTCAAGGTCCCCTTCCTCCCTGCCCAGTTTCCCCTTCCCTGTCACCTGAAAGTAGCCCCAAGGAGAGAAGGGGACCCAGCAGGGAAACCAATGCCAACCCTTCAGATGCTGAGGCAGGAATGGAACCCATGCCCCCATCACTTGGTCAGAGAAGCACAGTGGTCTCCCATTGTAGTTATAACCAAAAACTGACACTTTGCATCAGAAATTTTAAAAAAGGAGGAGAAGGAGGAAGGTGGAGGAGAACCAGAACTCTCTCTACTCATTCAGTTTCCTGGATATCTGAAAAGTCACACGAACCCTAAATCCCATGTTTTTAAGAGGGAGAATGGAGAGCTGAGCAAGAATCACTTTATCTTTTAAAATCATTCAAAGATACACTTTTTTGTAAATTTTTCAAGTGCACAGACAGCACTGACATATATTTACCCCAAGCAGATCACTTTGAATTCCTCGAAAAGTACAATTTCCTCCAAGCAGGAAGCCTGCATTTATTATACAGATTACGATAATAAGGAATACTCAAAAATTATTTCATTGTCAGTATTAATGCTAACGGTGTGTGGTACTTCTAGTACCAGTAATAAAAAAATCTAAGTTACCTGGGCTTTTTATGAGCCACTATTCTAAATACCCCCATGAAGGAATTCATTTAATCTACACAATAATCCTACCAGGTGGCTGTCCTCATCATGTTCATTGTACACAGGAAACTGAAGTGCAGACAAGTTATGTAACTTGCCCAAGGTCACACAGGTGGAATTCAGCGCAGTTGCACATTACCTAAAGCAAGAGTGTGTGCATGTGTGTGCATGCATAAGTGTGCCCATGTCGGTGTGTGTGCATTTTGTCTGGCTACAGAAGAAGTTCAGCTGAGGTAGAGGAAAGAATCAAACATTTTTATGGTATGACACCATTTGCTGATTTCTGTATGGTACACTAACACTTCCTAGCAAATTTGATGGAGACGGTTATATTTTTTAACATTTTTTTGTGCGTACATGAAAAGTGAAAGTTAGCATATGCTGACCCATATTTTTCAGTTAAACACAAAATAATAAAAAACAATCTACTGACAGCAAGTGAAGTTTTTACAGATCCAAAATATCCCACTTAGAGTAATGCCCAGTTCTAGACCCTGTGGCTACAGCCAAATCATAAAATGCTTGTTTAAAATGAATATAGATTCCTGGACCTTGTTTCCAGGTATCATAATTCAGCTTCTCAGTAAAGGCCCAAACAACCGCATTTTTAAAGTTCCACCAATGATTCGGGTTTGGAAACCACCAGTCTTTAGAATACAGACACCAGTCTCTTGTAGGTGGACTCCATCTTATGGATATCGCCTTGTGCACTGGCTTTCACATCTCACCATTCACCTTGCTGGAATGTGAAGGTCACTACCAGAAAAGCATGAGCTATCGGGACGCTGAAAAACTTTACCCTGACAAACACCTAACCTTCTTTCAAGGAGTAGCTTATGTTGTGGAAGTTTTGTTCATGCACCCATGGCAATAAAAAAGAATGAACTTCTTCTTTGGCTTAGATGTGAAAACTGAGCCTTTCTAATTCTGAGACCTAACAAGGCAAGGTGGACTCTTTCTGCCCAGCCAGCAAATGAGTAATTCTAACAGGATAAACAGAAACTACAAAAACCAAATGAAATCACGGTCTCGAAAGGTCAAATTAACATTAATTCATGCTGACTGAGGTAAGGTCAATGCTAAGTCAGACAAAAATGTCTCAGCTCATCATGTGGCCATTGGAAAAGGAGTATGAAATATGATTTCCAGAAAGTGGAAAAGAAGGCACCAGAAGACAGTTTGGCCAACTCCCACGATGCACTCTGTGGAGCTTATCACGGTGTTTAGGTTCAAGATGTTGTTGGGTACAATGTTTAAGAGTTTTTAAGCCTCTCTAATGTAATTTTCAACCAGAAGAATGTGTGGTAGTTACAGTACCCACAATTTAAGTTTAGCCAGATGCTTTTCCCAATTTTCAAATTTATTTTTAGCCTACCACATGGCTTTGGTGGAAACTGAAAATAAGAGTTAGACACAGTTTTCATGACATATGCGGAGTGAAAATAGTAACACTTGGTGTATTTTGTGCACGTTATTTTTTAGGAAAGCAATAAAATGCACTGTGAAATAATACAGTTTAAATATGCTAATGCTACTATCCAAAGAATCTGCAAGCAAGTAAGAGAGATGAAGATAAGCAACACAGCCAGCTACAGTAGTCTAAATATTCTGCAGCACTTTGTTTAGCTTTTGAAGTGTTTCATCTAGAATCAGCTGTCAATGAAACAACCTTAGTGGCAAATATTTCTCAAATTATATTATTATGAGTTGTCATAATAACTGACCAAAACTAGAAAAACACTTAAACACTCTCTCTTTTACACACATACACACCCTGACTTTAAAGAGAGGTAATCATAGGCTGTCTTTGGTTTTGTTTGCTTTGTCCGTTGACTGAATTCGCTCAGATGGCATTAGGTGTATGTGTGGGCAGGTGGGTAAAACCAACCAGTACAACTGAGTTACCCCATCTGTAATATGAGAATTGTTGAAGTGACCACCCAACTCAAACCTTAAAGTCAATTTACTTGCACTGAACCTGAAATAAAAGTTTCCTCCTCTGAAATGGGAAATACAAGGAAAGGCATTACTGCTAATCCAGGATCTGCATGTGAGGACATTCCAGACACCTTCTGTCTTGCACTAAAGTTACCCTCAAAAATTAATATCCCAGGGGCACCTGGGCAGCTCAGTCGGTTAAGTGTCCGACTTCAGCTCAGGTCACAATCTCATGGTTCGTGGGTTCGAGCCCCACGTTGGGCTCTGTGCTGACAGCTCAGAGCCTGGAGCCTGCTTCAGATTCTATATCTCCCTCTCTCTCTGCCCCTTCCCACTCACACTCTCTCAAAAATAAATAAACATTTAAAAAAATTTTAATAAATAAATAAAAATGAATATCCCATAATCACATATAGCAGAACTGAAGACCAAAGCATTTACTAGAAAGCTATAAACTAAAATCAACTTACAGGAGATGTGGTTAATCGAAGGATAGTGCCATTTTTTATTTCATTGCGATTCTGGAAAAGAAAAATAAAATCTTTGTAAGTCTTCAAATTTTAGAAGCTTAGTAAAGAAGAGAGAGCAAAGGCAAAAATAATCTAGTAGTGATACCATATAATAAGAATTCTTATGATTCAGTTTGTCACTTTATTCTCATAATTCTTGAGTGATTTTTAATTATTTCTACAAAGAACTTTAAACTGGGTCTCAGATGTATTAACTTTATAACAAGTCACAGACGCATTCAGCACAGAAGTGAGTATAAGTCCAGAGAGTAGGAATATAGGGCCCAAGAAGAGCAAACCAAAAAAAAGCAACTTTGAAAGGTTATTTAGAAAATACAACCTAACCAGTTCTGCTAGATTAAAACACACATCTGCACAAAAACTTGTACATGAATGCTCACAGAAACATTATTCATAATAGCCAAAAGCTGGAAACAACCCAAATGTCCAGCAATTGGTGAACAAAATGTGGTATACCCATTCAATGGAATATTATTAGGCAATACAAAGAAATGCTGATACATACTACACCATGAACGAACCCTGAAAACATTACACTAAGTGAAAGAATCCTGACACAAAGGCCACCGCTGTTATGGTTCCATTTATATGAAATCTCCACAATAGGCAAATCCACTGAGACAGAAAGCAGACTGGTGGTTTCCAGGTGCTGGCAGGTGGTGGGGGCTGGGGGGAGATGAATGCTAATGGTTGCAAGGTTTCTTTTCCCGGTGATGCAAATGTTCTAAAATTGATTGTGGTGATGATTTCACAAATCTAGGAATATATCAAAAATCACTGAATTGAGCACTTTAAATAGTGGATGTAAGGGAATGTGAATCCCATCTAAATAAAGCTACCTTTTTAAGGTTATATTAAGGAACTTGGTTTCATAACATTTGCCAGCTCTAACTGTGTGTCACCTTAGAGTGAAGAACACAGCATAAATAAGCAGAGCCCAAATCAGTCTTTCTCCACTTGGCAAGCATGATGGAGGTGAATGTCCTAAAGCTGTCACGTAGAATCTTTGGCATTGGAAGTAGAATCTCACTGGCAGTTTTAGTTCCTACCACCAGAGTACGCACCATTCTCAGCTTTCAGGAGGAGACCTTATGGGAGTCGCACATCCACATGCCCCACTCTGGAGCACAAAGGCCAGGAAGTTAATAAAGCGCCATGAGGATCATTCTCCTGCATCACTTAAGAGGAGCCACAATCTGGAATGTGTTCAGCAGGCACACGGAGGTGGTACAAAGCTTCTCAGGATAAGATGCCAAAAGCACACAGAACACACTCTCTCTCTCCCTCAGCCAATTCTGACTACTTATTGGAAAATGAATTTTCTAAAACGACTACCTAAAAGAAAGCAGGCCCACACTGTCTCCCACAGAAAACCTAATCCGAACGTTTATACCAAGGGCAGGATGGCCTGAAAGTCCAACTCTGTCAATTCCAGCTCAATCTAGAGCATCCGCAGGCAGACACCCTGGGCTGCCTCTGGAGAAAGCAAGCTTCTCATTATTGGAAGTGTCAGGCAAGGCCCGAATGACCACCTGGTCGGCAGGAAAGGTGAAATTAATTTCTGTCATTTAAAAAATCTTTCAACCCTAAAGTTCTATGACTCTCTGCCGAAGGAGAGAAAGACAGCAAATTCTCATTATAGAACATTAAGGAAGCTGAAAACATAGCATCCCTCTTTCTTGCTCAGGTTCTAAATGAATTGAGAAATAAGAGAGTCAGAAGATGAAAACCTAAAATATCCCCTTTACTAGTTTTTACGGAAAACAAGGCTCAGGGTAAGAACCAACAAGACAGCTAACTGGACCCTCAGATTACCTGTTGAGGTCAGACCTAAAGCAGTTTCCTTCCCAGAGAAAAAGGGGCCCACTTTATTCTTCCCAAATAACCAGTCAAGAAGAAAAAGCGGCCCTGTGAACACAAAGAGACCGGGAGGACTTAGGATAATATTTCCTCATGGAAATTTGGAGTGAGGGTAGGGATTCCTAATAATAGCAATAAACATTTATTGAAAGGCACTGAGCTGGGGTATTTTGGGGGTTTGCTGTCCTGCTTATTTAACCATCATAAAAACTTTTTTTTAAGATTTTTTTAAAACTAGTCTCTATATCCAACGTGGGGCTCAAACTCACAACCCAAGATCAAGAACTGCATGTTCCACTACTGAGTCAGCCCTCTGCCCATTTTCTCTCTGGAAAAAGACCAAAATTTTGCATTTATCCTCAGAGGGGAATTATCCTCATCAACTGGTCAACGTACATGAGAGCAAAGAAGTAAGCATGGTATCAGCAAAAGCCCTGCAGGTTCTCAGGGGTTCCCTGTGAGGCCCACAGTACAGGACCCTAGGTGGGGGTATGACTGGGGTAAAAGTAAGCAGCTGGTCCCCAGGTTGACTCCTGCAATGTTGACTCCTGACTTTTGGGGATCTAAGTATGAGTTCTTTAAAGAAAGAGTCTTGAGCACTGTGTGTTTAAACCAAAAGCAGCATCAAAACCACCGACAGGAGGAGTTGGGTTCAAATTCCCCAACTAGCTCAAACCAGGTGTGTGTGCTCAGTGCGAGGTCCTTAACCACACGGATGTAAGTCTTCTCTTCCCTAAAGTAGGGAGAGCGAGCCATTGCATGGGGAACAAACAGTAAGAACAAGAGGTGATAAATGCGCTGAGCCAGCCTAGAAGTGGCTCAAAAATGAGAGGGACAGCCACCATTAACTAGACAGCAGCTCTCATCCCTGTGCCTCTGTCTTCTCGGCTAGCAGTTCATTTGCCTTCTGGCTTTTCCTTTCCTCTGAAAAAAATGTGTTTCTAATCAGTGTTTTGCATTTTGGAATAAAAGAAGATAAGGGGAAGAGCTATTAAATTTGCATTAAGAATGTGAAGGTCCTGGGGCACCTGGGAGGCTCAGTCGGTTAAGGGCCCAACTGTTGGTTTCAACTCAGGTCATGATCTCACAGTTGGTGAGTTTGAGCGCAGAGCCTGCTTGGGATTCTGTCACTCCCCCTCTCTCTCTGCCCCTCCCCTGTTTGCTCTCTCTCTCTCGAAATAAATAAACATTAAAAAAAATTATTTTAAGTGGTAAGGTCCTGTCAGAAAGGTAGATGAGACTCAAAGAGAAAGGCAGTACAGACAGACCTGTGCTTCAGAGGCTGTGTTCTATCAGGAAAATCAACTGGATGACACCTCTTCGACCACAGGCTGATGCCACCTTCCACTCTCCAAAGAATGTAAAGTTGGTCAGCAAAGGAAAAGGCTTATGCTTTCTCTGATTCTATAAATTTCATCCAGGCAATGTAGAGCATCACTTAAGAGTGGGGTCTCCAGGGGCACCTGGGTGGCTCAGTCGGTTGAGCATCCGACTCTTGATTTCAGCTCAGGTCATGGTCTCATGTTTGTGGGATTGAGCCCCACGTTGGGCTCCGCACTGTCAGTGATCCCTACTTGGGATTCTCTTTCTCCCTCTCCCTCTGCCCTTCCCCATTTGTACTCTCTCTCTCAAAATAAATAAACATTTTTTAAAAAGTGGGGTCTCCTTGGGGCACCCCTGTGGCTCAGTTGGTTGAGCATCTGACTTTGGCTTAGGTCATGATCTCACAGTTCATGAGTTCGAGCCCCACATCAGGCTCTGAGCTATCAGCTGGCACGTTAAGGTCCAGCTATCAGTTCAGAGCCTGGAGCCTGCTTCAGATTCTGTGTGTCTCTCTCTCTGCCCCTCCCCCTTCTCAAAAATAAACATTAAAAAAAAAGAGTCTAGGATGCACAAAGAGAGTAAAGATATGACACTTACAAGGTAGACTGGCCTTTAGCCACTTAAAGAGGGAGGGGCAGGCATACATGAGGTAAAATTCTGGCTCTGATTTGCAGTTGGTGAATGTGTCCTGTCTCTGCAGTGGCCAGTTTGACAGTATGGTAGCCATATTTGTGTTTAATGTTTCTAGTTCATAAATTAAGAAGAAATCACAAAGCTCATGCTTTGGGAACAAAAGTGTATGTCTTCCTTCATTAGAAAAGAGTGAATTTCCTTATAGGAATTTCCTAAAAGGCTCGTAAACTCTTCAGTGGAAAACATCAACTGTTTGCATCCAAAAATTCTTTGAATCCCTCAATTGGAAAATCTCTGCTGTTAACACCAATCCTGGACTGCCATACCATATCCATACATGCTTTGAAAGATCAGCCTAAATCAAATTCCAATTCTCAAGAAATTCTGATATTACCTTCTACGATAGTCTTTTGATATATCAACTTGACTAGTCTGCTCTCCCCAATTACTCAATCAAATATGCATCTAGGTGGTGTTACTGTAAAGGTATTTTGCAGGTGTGGTTAAAGTTGATAATCAGTTAACTTTAAGTAGGAGAGATTATCCAAGATAATCTGGGTGGGCCTGATTCCATAAATTGAAAGGCCTTAAATTCTACCAGTGAACAGCAGATTCAACTTTTATCCCAGAGTTCCAGCCTCCTCTTCCTGAAAGCATGCCCTATGCATTTTGGATTTGCCTATCCAGTCCCCACAATCACGTAAGCCAACTGCTTGCAATAAACCTCTTTGCACATATCTCCCACTGGTTCTGCATCTCTTGTTGAAGCCTGACCAATACGCCTGCACCTGCTGAGACATTGCCCAAGCTTTGCATGGCTGTGTTTTCCCTTTACCACAGTGAGCAATATACTGGCCAGCTTTGTTTCATCAACAGGTTGTACTGGTGACCCCTGGAGAGCAGCTTCCAATGGGGCCAATCCAGCAGCATTCAACCAGGTCAGGGTCACTTTCCCAGGCTAGCCAAGGAACAACACCACTAAATGACATATAAAAGCATATGGGGAAGAAAAGAAAACAATGGGCCAACCTCCCCCCGCCCCCAAACAGAGAGGGGCATTCTGCAAAAATGAAGAATGTATCCATCGAGTCACAGGCCGAGACACTGCCCCCTGCCCCTCTCTGAGAAATCAGTCTTCAATCCTCCATTTTTTTGTATGACCGTCATATCATCTC